CTTAAAACTGAGAATAAACTGAGGGTTGATGGAGGGTGGGGAGGAGGGGAAAGTGGGTGATGGGCATGGAGGAGGGCACCTGCTGGAATGAGCTCTGGATGCTGTTTGGAAACCAATTTGACAATACATTTCCTATTGAAAAAAAAATGAACACCGTGGTTTGAATAGACCTGGGCGGTGAGCAGGAAAAACATGTGGGAGGCATGGGCGGTGAGTTTTTAAAAAGGAAAACTCTTCAGCATTTGCTTAAGAAACGTCAGTGGACTTGGAAATGCCATCTCTCTCTTGAGTGTCACCAAAGCACGAGAGAACTGGCTCTACGAGAAGAGTACTCGAGAACGAACACATACCGTTCATCAGCCTTGGGCCAGGCTTTTAGCGCATCATGATGGCTAACACTGGCCCAGCTCTCGCCTTGGCCCAGGCGGTTCCAGGCACTTCCTACGTTTCATCACACAACTCAGCAAGGTCGGCACTTTATTTAGTCCCATTTCGCTGGTGAGGTCATCCTGTTCATTTTACAGGTTAAGCACGGGCAGCTCTAGGGGCTTGAATTTCTCCATGTCACCCATCCTCCAGTGACACTGCTGAGATTCAAATTTAAGAATATTTGGTTCCCATGAAGGCACCCGGGCGGCTCTGTCAGTTGCACGTACGACTCTTGGTTTCAGCTCAGGTCATTCTCTCACGGGTTTGTTGGATGGAGCCCCTCATGGGGCTCTGGCACTGATGACGTGGAGCCCGCTTGGGAGTCTCTCTCTCTCCCTGTCTCTCTGCCCCCCTCTCTCTCTGTCTCAAAATAAATGAATAAAAAACATTGAACAAAGAAGAAGATTTTGTTCCGACGCTTGGGTCTTCCCTTCGAAGCCACACCGTCCCAGTGCCTGTCTTTATCTGACCGGGAGGTGACTGGAGACCTTATTAACCTCCGTCCCTGTGCATAGACTACACATGGTTCCTCTGTTATAAATGGAGCCCCCGAGGCAAAGTCCACACCTCGGGGGCTGCGAGTGAACCAGGTGAAGCAAGAGGCACCCGACCGCTCACTCCTGTCCAACATTTAGAACATTCACCTGCCTCACGGGAGGAGGAAGCGATGGCATATCACCTCGACGTATGTACAAGATGAAATTTCCTAATTGCTCACTTACATAACGCCCTCAGTCCCTCTGGAGGCATATAATTACCCATGCTCCCACCGGGCTGGCTGCTGCGTACCAGGCATCAGTGGGCATTATTCAGCCTTAAAAAAAAAAATCGAGGGCCGCCGAGTCACAAAGGGAAACTGGTGGAGGCAGGTAGCAGACCCAGGAGGCAGGAGTGCACAGACTTGGTTCAGATAAACAGGACCTTGGCAGAGGACAGAGAAGTGATGCAATCCTGCAGAAAGAATCCTCTAACAAAGAGAGGCAGGGACATGTGGTGGAGAGGTAATGGACCCAGGTAATGGATTCCTGCTTCTGTCTGGTTTTCCTTATTGGTTTTATGACCTCGGATGACTTGGGACCAGATGGATAGTAGTATTTCACCTGCTTGTCTCGGGCTTGTTTTCCAAGTAAAATATCCATAGCTTACCATTTTTGAAAGTTTCTTTGTGCAAACCACGGGGATAAGTATATTATAGTTATGTTCTCATACGATATTATAACAACTCCACGGAGTAGAAAATGTTGTTATGGTACCCATTTTATAGGTGGGAAAGTTGAGGCTCGAAGAGTTACATAAATGGCCACCACGTGGCAGAATTGCGGTTTGAATACTTCTCTCCCACTCCAGAGCCTGGATACCTGTAACTGCTACCATTATGGGATGTGACTATGTAATTTCAGAGCCTTCTGAAAGTTGAAAATAAGAGGGGGGGGCACCTGCGTGGCTCAGTCCGTTAAGAACCTGACTTTGGCTCAAATCATGATCTCACGGTTTGTGAGTTCGAGTCCTTCATGGGGCTCTGCAGAGACAGCGCGGGGCTTGCATCGGATCCTCTGTCTCCCTCTCTCTCTGCCCCTCCCCAGCTGTGCTCTCTCTCTCTCTCTCTCTCAAAAATAAATAAACATTAAAATTTTTTTTAAAAATAAGAGGGAAACATATCAGATGTCACTTGACCATGCAGACCCTCGCTATGCACAAATATACCGCTACTTTATGCATAAACTTAACACGGTTAGGTTGTCAGTTTCCCAGGACAAACGGAGAACAGAGTAAATTGAATCAGAACGTTAAAGGGGTATTGGAGAAGGAGCATTGCCAGGGCACAAAATAATTCCTTAAGGTGACAGAGGAGGAAGGAACATCTTTCTTAATTTGGGATGAGGACCCTCACTTCAGAACTTGCTCTGTCTTAATTAGCTCTGAGAGCTGCTCATTTGTCACTTTCAAACCTAGGACGGGGGTGGGGGGGGGGAGCATGGGTATGTTTCTCTGTCTGATCCTCTCCTCTGACTCCGTCTTCATAGCCCTCGAATGGGCTGCCATTTGCACGTCCGACTAAGTTCTCTGTAACTTCTAGAAGCCATCAAGACATGGAAGATATGACCCCAGCTCTGACAGATCCAGAAATACCTCACTACAGGAATTCTGGAAACGGCTAGATCTCGCCGTGTGCCTTATTGTTTTGCCATAAATCCGGCTAAAATCTAAAACCAAATCAAAGTCCCGCTGCAGGATTGACTGCCCTGGGCCGTTGTGTTGGTGTGTTAACTTCTTTCTGTCTCTCTCCAGTCTAGAGAAGTGGAAAGGGGGAGGTTCTGGAGAAAGATCCGGGTTTGACTTCTAGTTCTCCCGCCAACTAGCTGAGTAGTATGACTTTCTTCACCTGTAAACTACCAAATCCCGTTGTGGGAAGGGTTCCACGAGATAATAAAGGCACACACCAGTCACTTGATACATCGCCACTCCTCCCTCCTCCTCTTTCCTGGCCAAGTCTTTATACTCCCCCTCTCCTCCTTTGACTACATTTTCCCTTCCCCCTTATCATACATAACTTTATATGTATTTCTAGGTTCTCGGGGTCTGGGGCTGTTTCAGGGTTTCTCAGGGTTTCTTACCTCCCTGTTTCCATGGCGACTTCCCAGGGCTCTGTTTCTATTTCTGCTCTAGCCCAGAGCCTTCCTGTTTTGTTTTTCTCCTTTCCTGGTTACTTTTT